GCCACTCCCGCCCTCCCCTGGTTGTAACCTCAAGGCACGTAGATGCTGATCAATGGTAGGATGGCCAAGTTAGCTCATGCATCCTCAAATTTCAGGTCCGTAATTCTCACATTTGATATATCACATATCCGAAAGTATTGATGAACACTACCGGGGAACCTACCTGTCTTGTAACTTCCCGTCTTCGATAATGCTAATAATGCTTCTGTTTGGTTCTTCAGACAAGGATTTGCACCGCCTCCAACTTCTCCTGAACTGACTGCTTGGGTTTATTTTCCAAGCACGTTTCTTTCATAAGCTCCATACAGCCAGGTATACAGTTTTTACTTTTGGTAATCTCTTACAAATGCCTCCAAAACATTGCTCCATCTTTCCTTCTGGACGTATTTCCATTTATTAACAGAACCGTTCTTTACGACTTCATCCGACAAATTTAAAGTCTCAATGTACCCACGACCGACCTTCAACATTCCACGGCTCACAAAGGTTTATTTGCTGCTCCATCGTATCTTGGAACAAACTCCTTGTAAAGTTAGAAAGGCCCCAACTTTAAATAAATTTAAGTCAGCAATCAAAATGCGTCTTTTTCAATTCTATTAACTTTAAGCACCGTGAGACCCTATAGATGGCTTGTGTATCTTGCTTATAACATTTGCGTAATGATTGTTATGCAAAATATGTTACGATGATAAACAATATTTTCAATCATAATTTTAATTTTATCTTTTACCCCGACTCCAGAGGAAAACACATTACTGTAATTGTTATGTTGTACAAATGAATAATCTTAAGACACTGAAGGGGTGTTTGAAAAAAATAATCAGGAATAGCTAATAAGGTATAGATATTTGAATATTGAAAAAACTGAGGGGGGAAAAGTGGTATTAATACTTATTATATTTTTCTTATTTTTCATAAAGTACAATAAATTTATTTAGTAAAACTAGAGGAAAGTTAGATACACTGTATTTTATAGAGGGCAGCAGATATAAGGGCGATAGATTGTACAGTACAACCATGGAGTAGTCTAAACTAATTCCTGCATGGTACAACCAAGTAAGTATGGTTACTACACAAAACAATGGAAACTTCATACAGTATTTATAAGATGATGATGATGATTACAATTTCAATAATGATGTTGTTAATGATTGCAACGATGCTGATGGTTGATAATGTTAATAAGATTTAAATCCAACATATTTATTAAATCCAAGTACAGTATTAAAATACTGTAAATAAATGCTATTACAATTATGTTGATAATGAACTATTTGTAAGTTAATATTAATGATGATGATGAAGATATTGATGATGATGATGATCATGGTGGTGGTATTGATGATAGTTATAGTAATAATATAGGCAATTATATACCACCTATTTCAAAGGAATGCATCCTGAAGATAGGAATACTCCATATAATTAAAAAACCCTTATGCTGAAAATAAGCCTATCCAGGAGCCATATTTTCATTAATGACTCCTCTACTGCCTAAATTCTAGTTAAAATATTATTATTAATATTATTATTATTTATTTGATTAAAATATTGCATCTGTCTGTAACTAACAATGGACCTTTGAAATTACTCATGTAACTCCACTATTACAAAGGCCAAAAAATGGTTTTACTGCCTGCAGCTCAGCTGGGAGGCTTAAGCCAAGCCAATAATATTCTGATCAGGGAATAAAACAGAATACAAGCTTAGGCCTACCATATGTCTGCCCTCTATTATACAGTAGATTTAACTCCTGGTTTGTCAACTTATACTTTCATCTTTAAACAATGCAGGGCCATACCATATGTATAAAAATATGTCATGCCCTCTATTCACAAAACAACATTCTGACAACACACTTTTAAACAATATTTGATGGATAGATTGATATAATTTAATAATTCTTATGTATATTGTTATATAGCCCACGTTTTTAAATTGCTCAGTACACACTTGTTTCCCATAGGAATTGAATATAGAATCAATCAGGCACACACTGTGCAACCTCTTCTGATCCCTGTGGAGCATTCCTAGTCATACAAGGGAGCCGATTGAGCACTAGAAGTATATCGTAAGCCCCCATACCCCTCAAAAAAGCATTGCTTTTTATTGGAAGGTACTAATAATTGGAGAGACAGTTATTATTAATAGTTATCTCCATCTAGTATTTGTTAGTTTTTATCTCCATGACATCAACCAATTCGTTCACCTGTCCTTTCATATACTCCATATTTTTGGTCTTCATATTAAGACATCTATGCAGCTCTTCATAACAATCTGCCTATTTACCAATATTCATGATTTAAAAAAATATATATATGGAAGCTTTATGTTGCTGATATGTGATGCTGATGTAAAAGCATTTTCCAAACATTATTGTATTAGGTTAAAACTTGTAAAAAATAATTGTTTGGCCTAAGCATGTCTTTTTTCTTTCCTATCAGAAAGTGGATATATTTACAGCGATTTGAAGAATGAAGTTCATGGTATTTAGAATTGGGCATGCTCACTAGAGGCTGGAAATGAGGAAGAGTTTCAAATTGTAGATTTTATACATCTGGAATTCCCAGGTATTGAATTTTTTGTAAATACCAATTTCCCCTTATTTTCCTTTCAAGTTTAGCAATACAATGCACCCATTTTTCTGAGATGCCACATTTTACCAAGGTGCAGCTTGTCAAACATTAGATTATCATTATTTACCACCAACTCGTTGCAGGGTCACTGGCAAAACTGACAATTATGGTCAAAAACTGACCTAGACTTTATAATTTCAAATTGCCATAAATACATCCAGAGCAACATTATTACCTTCACCAAAGGAGGTTGTGTATCCACCACTGTCTTGTCTGTCTGTAAGATTATGCAAAAACTAATGAATGGATCATTTTAAAATTTAGTGGAATCAAAAACAGACACCATTCAATTTTGGGAAGAACAGGTCAAAGGACAAGGTCAAGGAAATTCAATTTTTTTTTTACCCCAAGCATGAAAGAAAATAATGGAATGGCCCCATCATACACATGTGAGCCGACTATTTTTCAGTATTCAGGCACAGGGAGGAAAATAATGGATATTCGCCCATCATACACAACCTACGTATTGTTCGGCATTCATGCACAGGGCAGACCTATGCACGAGTGGCTGCTCTAGTTATCTTTGTAATTACTATTTTTCGTATGCTGCTTCCACAAACGTTTCATCAAATTTAAATAAAAAGGACAGAAGTTAGTATCAGTTTTCAAGACTTTAATCATTGACTTTCTTCCCCATACAAATACAGGGTTTGCAAAATACTGCATCATTCAATTTGTACATTAGTTTCACCACAGATGAGTTGTTTTTTAATGTGGCACTTAATATTTAATAAATTTGTTTTACACGTCAAATTAATTAAGAGGGCACTGAAAATGCAAAACAAATTATCTTAAAAAAATACATACATTTTTAATTAGGATATAACCAATTCAAAATGCTCCCTCATCAAGAAAAATACAAATAGTTGAAGTGGGTAACAAAAAGGTTATACAAAATATTCCTCACCAAAATACTGAATTACACATTTAGGTAACTGGAGTGGAAAACAAAGAAAATGTTTTCTAACCAAAAACAAAAAATGCATACTGCAAAATTTTTAGTTGCTTGACAGAGGAGCACTGAAAATGTTTGCTACATCAATATTACTTGTATCCCTAAAACTAAAAGTAAAGACACACAGTACCTGAGCTTTGGTTTACAATAATATATACACATAATCAGAGAGTAATACAATCCCTGAGTGTCGGGGATGCTAAACTCAAAAATTTAATTGAAAATTTAACAGGTGTTACAGATGAAGTGTAATCACTCCTTCTTAAAGAGGCACATTCACGGATTGACATGATTAAATTTTTTAGCTCATAAATATTTGCTGAAAATGTAAACATACTTAGCATGACCATCTCTGATTGGCTGTTATACAGGATGTAGCTTCATTTTGCACATGCTCACTAACCATAAAGGATTTATGTGTGGTTACCTTGGCGCACATGAGAATGCGGCTGTAATTAGGCAGAGCTGTGCTTAAGACTTTATTTCATTTATGTAATGATATTGTTAGCTGTTAGTAATAAAGCCACCCTCCTCGTCTTTTCAATGAAACTAAAGGAATCTTGCTAATAAATAAATGCAGAGTTTAACAGCACAAGGTGAGGAAGTTCAACATTACTGTTATTGCAAAAGCAGGTCATTAGTGTAAGTACTTGAACAAACAGATTATATGTTGTACAGTATATGAAATAAATTAATGACTTTTCTAAAGTATTCAATATGTAAAATTACACCTACGGATCAAAACATACCTGTAGAATTAATAATCAAAATCATTATTAAAAAGGAGAAAAAAGCAATAGGCCACAAGAAATAGGGGCAGATACCATTACAGAGACTGGGGCTTAATTCTAAACGTCAAGCACCATTTCCACTCATATGGGAATTACACTTTACTATCAGTCAATTTCAAATCGATAATTTCATAAAGTAAAATATTGCTAAATGTTAGCAAGATTTAACTTGCAAATTTCATGATTTTTTACTATAACGTATCAAAACAGAACACATCAGTAACATCACAAACATGAAATACAAAAATATCTGCTATAACCAGTCTTTAAAATAGGATACTGTTTACAGCTTCCTCCAAATCAGGGTCCTGCATATTGCTCATTGAGTAGCTATAACCACTGTTCGTTTTATTCAAGTCGTCCAGATTTTGATCAAGTTTGGTTATGGCCTTTTCTGTCTCGCCGAAGTCCTGCATGGCATCGTCATCGTCATCAAAGTCAAACTGCAAACCGTTGACCACACTACCTTCTCTAGATTGATACATGTCTGAGGGGCCATCCTGAAAAGATGGGATTTCAACTCCCTTTTGGTTCCCAAAACTAAGAATGTGATTGATAGCACTCTGGTTTTGTTCGCTCAAGGCACCGCCGGTGGAGTCGTCACCTTCTTCATCTTCCAATTCATTCTCCTGATCTTCAAAACACTGAACATCATCAACATCACCACTCTCCTCTTCATTAAGTTCAGAACCTATAGATTCACCTCTCACATTCAGTGTTTCAACAAGGGATAAATTTTGGTTTGATTCGCTAGCATTTTTAATTACCTCATTATCAATAATGGGCATCTCAAACACGTCGTAACTATTGTCAAGTTGTTGCGTCTGCTCGTTCAACGAGCAATCAAAGGTTGGCGTTGGTGGCGCGGATACATCAGGTTCGGAGTCCTGATCACCACCACCGCCCTGGCCCTCCAGCAGGTCTTGCAAAGTGCTAGGAGGCCGGCGCAATTTGAATTTCAACTTCAAGGTTTTCTGGCGTCCTTCATCATCAACAGGTAGTTCCCTGGTGATGAATCCATTGCAGTCTTTAGGGCTTTGCGCCAATGGTTCCTCACATACGTCTTTAGTTCTATGATCTAATGAGGGAGACACAATTCCAATAGAGGGGGTACTTTCTACTACTTCTGCACCAGAGTTTGTAACCCCTTGTACACTCACAGATTCTGTTTCTATACTCGTTGAACAAATATCCTGTTCGTTATGGGCTTTCACATCTTGTGTCTCTGAATCACCTTCATCAATTTTGAATGGTGATATCAAATGTGATTTAACATCACTAAATATATTCTCAGGTTTCATATCCTTTTCATTCTCAATAAATTTATATGCTGGAAAACTTCGCAGTTTTGCAACTGAAAACAAAAAAAGATATGGGTATTACCTTTAAAATAAAATCAAGAATAAACTGAAAATTCAAAAATGTTAAAATCTTATACTGCAATCAAATTGATCAACTATGCTTTGACTAGGGAAAAACCTGATGCCAACTTGGCACTTGGATTACCATGTGGACCATGGCCGGCCAGGGAGCAAAGTGCAGAAATTTGAAAAAAATTGAAGCAGCTAAACATGCAGAAGAATATCAGCTGTTTATAATATAATCATATTATGTAGACACCCCAATCAACATAGAGACATGTAAATGAATAAACAACCAACCATGTAGAAACAGTACAAGAATAATAGTCACACATAATGTTGGTACATTTAAAATGTAGATGAAGTTAAGCAAATTTAACTTTAAGTACTCACTCAATTGATCATGAGGCATTTGTTTTTCTTCCTCGAAATGAGCTTTCTCATCTTGAAGGAGAATTCTTCCTAGCATCACCATTTCGGATGATTCACTGGTTTTCTTTAAAAACAAAAAAGATAACATATATGTTTATAAAACAGAAAATATATGGACTTGAGATTTCAAAAAATATATGTACATTAATGTCATAATATGGAAAGGCAGTGCAGATTTAGCACAAAAATGGATTCTGAGCTGCTAACCAAACTGCCATGTTCCCTCCTAACCCAACCACTCTCCCGTTTTCAAATTCCAAAATACAAGAAAATGTTATTGCCTGGAAGGAAATTACATTGATGTTTACATCACCTCAACAATAGTCAAAAGTCAAGATACATATGGGCATTTGTCTAAAAAGCTTGCACTTTTGTAACTAAAAAAAGACAATAATGACAAATACTGGATTATTTAATTGGTTTCTTAAAATAATGACAATAAAAACTAGTATTTGTGATTGTCACATTCTCAACCAATAACAGTTGTTTTGGAACTATCTATGTGGTGTACCGCAAGCATTATTAGATTCTAGACATGACATGCAGGGACGTACCGTGGGGGGGTCGATGGGTGCAGTCCTTTAAATATGCTTGCTTCACTCACAAATAACGCACCCCGCGAATTCTGAAAGCTTCGCTAAATTGCTACGAGTTCAGCTTGCCCCCTGCGCTTTCATTTCGACCCCCCCCCCTTAGATTTTTCACCATACGCCCCTGACATGAAAAACTATCCAGTGACTGTGTATATTTTGTGGAAACTAAATCTATACTTGTATTCTGGTACTAGGTAGTGAACTATAAATTCAAAATAATCTGTACCTCAAACTGGCAGATGCATAGTAGTACTTACCATACTGTCTTGCATAATTAACTTTTGGTACTTGCTGTACATTTTTTGTTTCTTCTCAAGAATACCAATACTGACTTTTTCAAATGAATCATCAACTGAAATTGTAGAATTGAAAATTCAGTATAAATAAAAAAACTAAAGTAAATATATTTCAAGTTAAAAGACTGAATTAATTATCTATGTGGTATGACATGACCTGAAGAGTATTAACATTATTGCATTTAGATTTGCAAAGACGATAGTGCATTGAGACTTCGTAGTGCAACAAATATACGCAACATGCTAGCTAGATCAAATACACTGACTTCTATGCATATGTTATAGTCTTTTCCTGATTTGAGGCTTGCCATCCCAAAACTAGCGTACTATCGCTAAAAATGTTAAACTGAGTAATTAGCATAAGAATGTGACAGTATTTTCTGCAATGATGGATTAAAAGTTAACTTCATGTCCCAAATGAATGAACTTGGCGGCAGCTAAACATTAAATTTTATAGTTATTTAACTTTATAGTTTGACACCATGCTTCACAATGATGTCGAACAATCCAGATCACTCATCGTCATAGATGGTCCGGCAGATTTGTTTGCATGCGAGGCTGATTAGCGAGGTAAAATTCATTCATGTGCTTTATCAATACTAGGTAACATACCTTCTTGTAGTTGTTCACTGGTAGGGGTGTGGTCTGTAGTCACATGGTAATCCAGAAGCCGTTGAACAGCGTCTTTGTAGCTTTTGAATGGTGTCTTCAGATCAGGTGCAATCATGTTGTCTTGATTCTGCTTTATTTGGTGGAGCATCCTATAACCAACAACATTCAAAAATCAATTAAACATCCACAGAAATAGAAACTTAAAATTATATTGCTACAAAATTATAATAGCAGTTCACAAAGTGCTTTTGAAGTCAAAGAAAAGGTACTAAAACTTGCAATGGGGGGGGGGGATATTAAGGCATGTCGCCAGTCAAAAATGTATGTTAATACAGACATTAGCATAATGGAGAGTGAAGACTGTGGTGAGAAAGGGTGATGAAATAGCATGCAACAGACTTTCACTTGGTGGTAATTACAAAATGACAAAACTTCCCCAGAATAACTCACAGTGAGCTTCGTGTAAGCTGATATTGTGCTGGTCGTTTCGTTCCTTTACTTTCAACCTGAAATGAATATTGGTAAAATAACTATTTTATTATCAATAATATGAATAAATAAAATTAGGGCCGCAATGATGAATTGTTTATAACTTGGTATTGATGTTGCTTATATTAGCATTAAGAATGTAAATTGTATAAATGTTATTATTAAGCCTCCTGTTTAGCAATGATAAACTGTTGCAATGTACTAATTTATTATACTATTTTTTTTACTAAATATTAGTGATTAAGATTCTTGCCTTCCATTCCTAATCCTGGGTTTAAATTCTGCTAAATATTTCTTCTTACGTTGTAAATAAAAAAATAAAAATTAGAATTTGAAATGAGAACTGGTTACAGATAAATAAACATAACATAAATAATGAGCAATAAGCTGACCTCCCAGGCTTAGCTAAAAAATTACCCTTTTAACTATTGTTCAAATAAAAATATTTAAAAAAGGGTTGTGAAAGGACTCTGAGTCAGTTTACTGTGAGGACACATTTACCTTGATGGGCTGATTGCCAGTTGAAGTCTGGCCTTGGTTAGCCTGAAATCAATGAAAAGTATATTAAAAAAAAAAGATAAATTATAAAACATCATTTAGTATCATTATCATCCCCATAACATGATGAAAGTGTTAGGACCTAGGAGGACGGCTTGGCTGGAATAATCTACAATCAGAAATATTAAATGAACAGGAAGTGAGTTTGGGAGCAGAAAAGGACAAAAGGAAATGGTAACATTTAAGGATTATACAATGATTAACCTGTGTTTGCTGCTGTAGTGCGAGAAGTAATGACTGTTGGCTTTTAATGTAGGCTGCTTGTTCTTCTGGAGTCATGTTCTTCAGCTTCTCTTGGAACGACCGCACAATTTGTTGCTGATACGGTGTTAACTTGCTTGTCTTTGTACCGCCAGTCTGTAACGAATAAAAAAGACTGTCTTCTTAGCAGAACGTAATAAGATATCTTCATATAGTTTTAATGTTGTTACTGCCTTGGGAAGAGATTTTTTAAAACAAGAACATTGTTTAAATACAGTATTATTACTTTCAGTAGTATTTTTAGTATTGTATTTAGTACAGGATTAAATCAATAACCATCGCTTGGTTTTTAACAAGGTCTTTAATATACTGCACTGCAATGTGAAATACCCAGGTTGCAATGGCTTGTACCACAATTTTATGGCTTGGCCACTGGAATGAAATGGGTAGACTCTTACAGACCTCCACTACTGCAGAAAGTGATAGGAAAGTATAAGATAGGTAGGCATAGAAGATGCAAAATGTCAGAAAACATTTATGGCTCACCAAGAGCTTTAAACCATCATCAAACTATAACTATATAATTATATAACTCTATTTTCAATACATTTTTTACCATGTGGAGAAAATTAATGGATTTACTCACAGTAGTTGGCTCTTGTTTAACTTTCAATGATTCCATGCCAGTAGAGTCATTTGAGTTGTTTTGCATTGGTGTTGTAGGCACATTCTTTGACGCAATCTTCTTGTGAGACTTTATCACGATGTTTTGGGATGGTTGCGGCTGAATGTTGGTCACGTTCAATGGTCTTGTTTGCTGTGCCAACATCTGCTGACGTGCCTGTGTCACTATCTTTTGCTGGATGTGCTGTAGCTGCTGTAGAAGTCGTGTCTGCTGCTCTGTTGGGTTTGGCATTCCAGTCAACGTTTTGATGTGGTTTTGAATTGTCTGAAGCTGCTCCTGCGCTTTGATGCTGATCTGGAACGTTGCGGGTAGATTAAGGGCTGTTTGATTGGCTGAAGAGGTGCTAGTAACACCTGCAGGAGTCTTGGCAGGTTCATTACTTTGTAATCCACTTTGACTACTGCCAGAGTTGATACTTGATGACATGCCAACGGATGCATTTCTGACATTATTAGCCTGTGATCTATTTGGCGGATACTTCATGATGGCTGCAGCTTGAGCAGAGATAACCGGTTGTGTGCGTCCTGTTATGTTTATTGGCTGGATATTGCTACCAATGTTGCTGGTTGAACTTAAATTTATCGAGGTATTTAACTGATTATTATGTGCTTGTGGTGGTCTAATTAGTTGATTATTTGGCAGATTGGGTTGAATACCGGATGGTGTGTTAGACTGGTTGTGTATAAAAGTCAACCCACCACCAGGCATAATTTGCTGTGGCTGTTGAGTTGCTGATTGGATATTTGTATTTGCTATATTACTAGTTAAATTCTGGGAGTGAACAAGTCCAGATTTTTGCTGCTGTTGTATTTGCTGTAACATTACTTGCAACTTCTGCTGTAACTGTGGATTGTTTTTGAATGAGTTCTGAAATATGGCAGGATTTTTAAGCATGAGTTCTTTCAGAATGTGTGGGTTGTGCTGAAGTACAACCTGAAGATCCCTAGCCTTCTGTTGTGGGTCCGACTGGTTCTGGGAGGTACCAACTTGATTCTGCAAACCTGAAGCCGCTCCCTGAAGAGCCTGAGATGAGGTGGTCTGCTGTTGTGGCAGTCCAATAGAAAAAGGTGGGTGGTGTTGATCAGATGGTACATGCAACTGCCTGTGAGTCAATGTGATACTTGGAGTTGAGCCTTGCTGGGAAGGAAGTAGGCTTTGGCTTAAACCAACTCCTGACTGACCAATTGATGTCTGTGCATCATGTTGTCCTAATGGTTGATGTACAGATGTTGTATACTGGTTGTGAGTGGCATTGCTGGTTGCATTGTGAAACGTCATTGTATTATTTTGGACGGTTTGTGGTACAGATTGTGAAAGGTTTTGGTTTGCAAAAGCTGGAATGTTGAGTTGTTTGGTCAGGTTTTGTACTGGCAGTTGCTGAGGCGATGGTACTTGCATACTTTGGTAAGATGACGCATTACTGTTCATGTTAAACTGCATTCTAGTATCCGACAGATCTACATCCGTTGCACTGAGTGATGAAACCGGTTGTGACTGCATAAGATTCATCTGACTGTTGTCTGAGGAAGGTGGTGATATGAAATGACCTGACTGTTGGTTAGAGAATACTGAAGGTTGAGATAGATGTTGTGGTAGCATATTGTCCATTATCGATTTCTGATTTGACATGCTTGTTACAACAGTCTGAGAGCCGGGCCCAGGATTCGAGGCAGTTACCGTTATAGGTTTTGATTTCTTCACAACAATCATGCTTCCACTTGCACCTATAGTGATAACAGGGTGTGTGGTTTTATTCTCAGTCACAGTTACAATAGTCGGTTGAGAATTTATCGGTTGTGAAAAATTAAGAGCTGAAGTAAGTGCATTTGACACAGAATTCACCTGCATTTCACTGCTCAGTGCAGTTGAAGATATACTGGATGAAGAAAGTGGAGCTACATATTTTGGTTGCGTTGTTTGAGTATTTGATAATGCATTGTTTTTTGTTTGTTTTCCTCGACTTGATTTAGTAAGGCTGGTATTTGACTGGGTAGTTGTGACTGTACTGCTGGCCTGTGTTGTTACCCTGCCTGGAATAACAGCAGGATTTCCGCTCTGTATCACCTGATAGTTTGGTGCCCTCACTACACCACTATTTGCTATAACTGCTTGGCCAGTGTTTATCCCCTGGACAAGCTGAAGGTTTCCTGGCATGTTAGGATTGCGAATCAGGAATGTTTGTGGTTGCCCCTGTGCTCTAGGGGCAATCTGTACCGTCCTTGTCATTGCTTGATTCGGCAGGATTTGAATCACTCTCTGTCCTGGTTGAGGCTTTGGGCTAATGTGCCTCGGCCCCTTTGGGCTTGGTTTTGGACTTATAGCAACAGGTCCGCTTTTCCCAATTTTGAGTTTTTGTTGCATTGATGGATTCATAACAGCGGTTTGTATTGGAAATCTGGTTCCACCAGTATTCAAGACAAAACTAGTAAGTGGCTGTTGTTGGCCTTGTTGAAGCTGTACAGTTCCAATTATGCCCTGTGAGGACTTTACTGGTGCTAGCTGTGTCACTAGGCCTTGAAGAAGTATTTGCTGACCTCCCTGGGCATTGGCAGGGATCTGTTGAATTATTTGCTGACCAGATGGTGTAACCTGAAGCACAGCCGTTGTAGCTTGATTAGGCTGGTTAGGTATCATTGGCTGTAAAGTCTGGTTGAAGACTGGCATTGTGTTGACTTTCTGCGGCAATGAACCTGTTGGTTGAGGCAAGCTTACAACTGGCTGAGCTGCAGGAATCACCAGTTGATTGGTAACCACTGGTTGTGATTCAACTGGTTGGTTAGTTGTAGAATCCATTGTTTCATCCACTTCATCCAAAAATGGAAAGACTCCTGCTTCAGCTGCTGCCTGGCTCAACAATGAATCATACGGATTTGCATTCGTTTCCATGGTATCAGAAAACAGATCATCGTCGCCAAAAATGTCTAAAGTGTCTTTTGATTGCATGTCCATGTTGCCGGTGTTTTGTTCCTGCATGGACAGCATCAACGATTGGTCATCCATGGCTTCCGCAGGTTCTTGACACTGACGGTTATCTGTTTGCTGACCACCTGGGTCAAATGTAGCCGTTATAAATCTGGTTGCATTTTCACTTTTGGGTATCACATGTTGCGAGTTTGATATGTTGTTCAATTTAGATTGTCCTTGCCCTTGTAAACTTCCGTCAACGTAGGAAGCTACAAATGGATGTGAAACGCTATTCTTGCTTTTCGATACTTGGGTAGTATGCTAAGTGACCAAAAAAGAAAAAAAAAAACATTTAGTAACTGATAAATTAAATTGTCTACTGCATTCATTGATTGACAAATGTCAGGTGAATATACATGCTGCCTTTTCATGCTAAGTGTAACAATTGCATATAAAATCATCCATGCCAAAGGCAAAACTCTTTGAAATACTACTTTAGATGGATGGTACCGTAGCTGTCAAAAATAAAATGTGCAAGGTGATTAGTAACCTTACTGATTAAATGGGCTTGTACTGTATCCAAAAAAAGCAGTCTCAAAATACATAAATCCCTTCTAGGTATGACAGCAATAAAAGAAATTAGCCCACCCCTTCTCTCACAAAAAATACCAACAGAAATAACATCACAGAAAATATGTTAAAAAGCAGTTAACTGATCTGTAAATACAGTAAAACTAAAATCACACAATAGTGTGACATATTGTATTGTATTGTATTGTGACTTTTATACATTACTACACTTTGGAAACAAATTTTCTGGTAACCTGAATAAATTAGACAAATATGAAGATTATAGAACCAAAAGGTCCACTGATTAATCTCAGATAAGATAGTATAATACATACTCCAAGTATCGAATTGCACGCCATCGTGTCGGGATTCAATATTTCAACATTAATTATGTCATCATCAGGAATGATGACGATATAATTAATGTCGAAATATTGAATCCTGACACGGGAGTATGTATTATACTATATTATATGAAGATTATTAAACATGTAATAATGCATACTTTTACTTTAGGACAGTTGATTAATGAAAATGACAAATACAAACATTAAATACACATCAAATTAAAATAATTACAATCACAAAGCAATTTTAATAACTTCATACCCTAAGATACTGAAAATGACAAAAATATGCATTAAAATAAAATTTTAAAAAACACAACCCCAAAATGCAAATACCAATTCTTCTAAGGTCTTACCAACACTTGCAAATGATTGGTTTAAATGTTAATAATGAAATGAGTTGTGTACCAAACTAAACTAATGTTAGAATTGTATAAGAAGGCTGCAACAACCACTACACAGGATATACCTATTTCTCATTATTGCATATTGTATGCCTTTCTTTACGCAAAGCTTTTAAATTGATTTTATAAAGGACCGAACTCAACAGACAAAAGTGGTATGAAAATGACAATGTTGGCATTTGTGCACAAAACATGAATGAAAATGTGATCCCTGAAATCTACATTCGACAAGCATTAATTCAGGTATGCATTGCTGGGAAAAGTGCATGACCGCATGACCGGCAGACGAAGGCATCATGCATCTTCCCAGAGGCAACTATATGCAAGAGGAATTGAATTTTAGTAAACAAGGAACATTTTCTCCAAATGTTTTGGGAATCCTATAACACATTCATATGAACAGATGAATGTGTTACAAACTTCTCAATTTTCTCTAGCAAGGCTTAAGGAAGGAACACAACATGGTGACGTTTTGCTCCAGCTGGAAATGCTTGCAATATACTGTATTTAAACAGTTTACAACCATTAAAAAAAAAAAAAAAACCACTGCTGTAACTTTTTCTGACATTTTATCAACCACAATCCTATTATTTGCAGAGCCTCATGCTTCACTGTACACAACAGTCAGCTGTACAAAATATAGAACCACACTTTACTGTACCTGTACATGTGAATTACTTGGCTTACAAACATTCAAGCCTTCAACATTCAAGAAACTATCAAGGGCATCGGCATCACTGTGAAAATTGCATACAATTGTTACACTCCACAATTAATACTAAATCAATTAACTTCAATTAATTAACAGTTATATGGCCCAGTTTATTTCTAGATCACTTTAAAAAAAATTATAACCTTTATATCCCATGACAGAACTTCCAGAGGGTATAATAAATGAATGACACTGTCTTCAAAGTATGAAATTCAAATGAACTGATCTTAAATTTTATTTAAAATCCTTCTTATATTATCAAAGATTTTCCAGGAACACCAAAGATTCTTTTCATTAAATGAGGTGGAGATGGGAAGAGGGATAGAATATTGCAAAGCAGACCTTTTTGCAATGTCTAACTAAAAAGGGAAAGCTATTTTCAACCTCTCAATAGTGGTTACTGATAGCACTGCTGGTAGCATATGAGATTATTATCACTACAATGTAATGTACTCCATAACATTGCTTTATAAATATGTTTTACTACACATACAGTAAAGCCTGATTTCCAATGCGATATTATTACATTTCGCTACTGAGTTGACAGTAGTCAAAGACACCCAGTGGAAATGCTTGGGGCAGATCAAACTTCTGAACTTTCCTGGTCTGTTGGCGACGAATTGAACAGCCTTTTTTTAAAATTGTGTTGAGGACAGCCATGTAGTGTAGCAACTGTACGTAACTTGATATGCTACGACAGTAAATAGAGTGTATGTAGCAATTTTATGGAAACCATCTGTGATTTCCTCAATCACAAACATCTGTGATTTCCTCAAAATAAGCATGAACCACTGATCTCTACTATAATAGCTGGATTGCTCATTGGCTGGTTTTAGTTAGGGCACCGACGCCATGTTAGGGGGGGGGGGGGGAGGGCCTAAGTGATGTATCTTTTTGGCATTTCTTTAAATTATTGTTAAAAACGATTCTTGCAAAAGTTTTTAATAATAAATTTGAATTTAACGTAATGATTATTATCTATCTACTTGATGTGACTTTTTATGCCGTTTAAGAAAGCGCAAGCAAAGTTATTTGAGTTGTTAGGAATTGACGTCACTATTACAACGCGATTTCGCTCGTGCTTTCGAAAACTGCATAAACAGTCATGTCTAGCGGTTTGATAATAATTCCTACGTTAAATTTAATATTGAAAAATATTGCAAGAATCGTTATTTTTAACTATAATTTAAACAAATGCCAAAAGAAACTTTCTAAACTGGTACGTCACTTAGGCCCTCCTACATTGCGTCGGAGGCCTCACTCTTTTCTGTACCAGGATTGGCTGATGAGCAATCCAGCTATTACTAAAGAGTAGAGATCAGTGGCATGAACACGCCATATCCACCACAAATATTTGTCCCACAAAACTTGATACCATGTGAACAACTTTACCTTTAAATGGACTGAACAAATGTGTTAATTTGTCGACAAAAAGTTTCTAAAAATGGTTTAATAAAAATACTTAACCAAAAATTTAAACCTTTATCATCAAGTCTGTCGAATAATTTATATGTCGCAGTGCGTATTAAACATTTTTCCTATCTCAATTAAAAAATACAATGTTCTCCACCCCTACCACTACACACTGAACATTCAAACAAAAATATGGGGGTCTTGGTCTGTCCAACAGGTGGACGGGGTACTGATTAAAGACACTCACCTAATCACGTCCAAAAGGGTTTGGCAGTCATCATCCATGACCCTCTACAGCTTACTAGAAATTTCACCTAGATAAAGATAAAAGATACCTGTAATAATCCGCTGGAAAAGAGAATTGATTTACCATCCCCAAAATAGTGCAGAACCTCTTTTCAGATAGCAGCCAGCCAACCCTTGGGTCATGAAAATCTGGAGATTTTTTTTTAAGAATCTTAAAAAAATCTGGAGATTTACCAAAAAATCTGGAGGTTTCCAGAATTAAAGTCAGGCTCCGGAGGAAAAAAAATTTTTGATATATTGTAGAACTGATTTTTCTAAGACAGAAAAAAGTAGTTTGATCAAAAACTGAGCAACGATGAATGAGATACAGATTTTTGAATATTTAAAAACTGGGCGAAAAATGTGTAAAAATGGGCGGTTACGCCGCTTTCCCCCCCCCCCAGTTTTTAAATATTAAAAAATCTGTATCTCATTCACCATTTTTTCATCATTCACTTTTTTCTGTCTTACAAAAATCAGTTCTACAACATATCAAAACATTTTTTTTCCTCCGGAGTCTGACTTTAACCAAAAGATGATGAAGACACCAAAAAAGTCACTTCACTACAAATCATTAGCCGTTGGTGGCGACATTCGAATTGAAAATGGCTGCTTGTTTGTTGCACCGCGAAGCGAGCAGGGGGGCGAATACATTGAATAATAACGATCAAATCAATCAAAATATGCCTAAATCGGAGTATTTTTGGGGAGAGGGGGGTGGCCTGTGAAATCGGGTGAAAATTACATTCAATCGGGAGAACTGGAGATTTCTTTAAATATCGGGTGACAACCGACAGGATCGGACGAGTTGGCAGGTTTGAGATAGTCACACATGTTGTTCAAGCCATATTGGGAGTGAAAAAAAAAAGTTTACATTTTTGTCTAGAAAGTGTATGCAAGTATTTAGGAAGTTTAAGTGCTAAGGCACTGACTTATTTCATGCAGCACATTACGGAATACTTCCCCAGGATCCAAGTATGTGTTCCAATGGCATCTTTCTGAAGAAATTAGTTGTGTAAAGAATGCTATAAATTCCAATATTATATCATTATTGTTTTATTCCATTTACAATATATAAATATACTAGGTAGAAAGGTAAACTACATTTGCAATGGGATAAATCTATCATTTTTTTAAATTTTGGATTCATATTTAAGTAAATATATTATATAACTTTTTTATATTAATTGCCTTTATTATTTATTACTATTATTAATAAAGTATTTTTATTATTATTATTAAATACATTATTTTATCAACATTAGTTTAATTTTTGAAAATAACATGACCTTAATTAAAGGTATACATAATAATACCTTACCTCTACTTTTTTCAATTTAAGGTCAGTTTCTTTATTGGAATTGGGTCTTAACACATATGCCAACATTTACATATCAATGTCAAACATTAAAGATCCCATTTGAAATGTAGACTGTCAACCAATGACTAAGCAAAGGCGGAGACGATACAGATTATGCAGTACTGGACTGATCCACTTTAGCCAAAACATGGAATGTTCCATTTTACCAAAGAGAAAAAAAAGCTATCCAATCCAACCATAGGTTAATTCATTTTCCTGGCTTTATGAAATGAAGTGAAGTATTAGTTGGTGGTGTTAAAAAAGCTTTGTCATTTATCAGACATACAGTACATCAAACAGATGTTTATTATTAGCTCCTGTCTCAATTGATGCTGCTCTAATTTTGGAGAGAATAACAAGATTGACTGCTGGAATATGACCCAATAACATTTAGAATATAAAATCATGACCCTAGACAAAAGATGACAAAAATATGTTAGGCAAGGGGAGTTTTTTTTTAATCATGAGAAAATACTGCCATATGTTAAAATTGACCTAATCTGGGGATTGAAAGTTGGTGAAATATTCATCTTCATGACTTTGGATTCACTTATAAATATGCCATTTATCATGATTACATATAATCTTTTTACGCTGTAGAAATTAACAATTGGTTGACAGCAGTTCAAGGATGGTGATATGGAGCATTTTTTTCCGTACTTTCGGACTGAGTTCTTTTATTTGAATTTCTGAGATGAACTACACGACCTGGCCATTAAATTAATTTTGTACGTTAATCATCATAGATTTACAATTCAGGTTCTGAAATGGAGTTTAGACTACAGGATATCTTCACCATTTTTAACGGTTTCCACACATTAGGCAGTCAAGATGGATGAATAATTTTCTGAACAATATTTTGAAACCATGGCCTGTCAGGAAATATTTCATCTTGACTTGTTATTCATACTGTAAATGATGTACAGTCATAGAACCCCTGGCATTAAGGGGACACCTTTGGAGCCAAAAAGTTTCCCATTTATTTGGGGTGTCAACTGAAACTTACTGGATTGATAATTCTGTCCCTTGCTTCACAGTTAAAAAAGGGGTGTCCCACAGGAGGGGTTACTAAATATCTTTCCAACCACTTCATATCATCACCTCAACGGCTACTACAATACACAGAGTTAACTAGCAGTAGGCCTCTGCACTTTAATTATGTTTAGAATATATACTTTCTAGGACTGTGAAAAAAAAATGCAACATGTCATTGTCATCTAGGCCTATGACTGTGTTTCTGGTTGTGTTGTAGTATGACTGATTGCATTATCATCCTGAACATAATTTGCTATTTTTGAAGACTGAACTCTCATTATAGAGCCTATAAGTTGAAACCAGGCTTGAATTTTTGTGCCAAGAAAAACTTATCTTGCATTATTTAAAATACCTAGGCCTAGAGTAGACGACAAACATTCTGTTGTACTGTATACACAAAATATAGTATGTTATTTATACATGATGATTTAGGCCTACTCAAACCCAAAATCACCGACTTTGTAGGCCTAAATGAAACACTAATCAGTCATTTTAATAATAAATAATATATAGCAATATAAATTAGGATATTACTACTTGGCCTATGCCCAATATTAGGCTACTCTACTGGCTATGGGTAAGCTGTGTGGTAGTTGTACTTGGCCGATTTGATGCACTTCCTTCTACTTTGTATGATCAGCCACCAAAGAAATAAAATTATAAAAGGTACCGTAGCCTAGGCCCCTACCCGGTTTACTGTTTCAACATGTTGTGAACCTAACTAACTTAAATGTAATATTACTCAAAGAATTGTGACGGTAACAGAAACGCGGAAGCCCAGCTAAGTAATTCGAACCTGGGGAGAAAACAGCCATATTTATAGGATTCCCTGGATAGGTTTATCCGCGTTTTCAGTACTGCGTATTTATCATTGGTGTCCTCCACTGGCGAATAGCATCAGTGCACAGGATCAACTTTTAACTATTCTACGAAACCCCATCCTTCAAATCTGCATTAAATCACTCAAATTTGCAAATAAAACCCTCCGTTTTCCCTCTGTAACCTCTAAACAACGGATACACCCTCTTTCCCTCTAAATTTTATCAGAAAATAATATTCAGGATTGCACTCACCGTCATGTAGCGAGCATCCACTGTATAATAAACCGCATTTCAATAACAATGGCATTGATTGGTTGATGAAATGACGATAACTCATTTACATGTTCGATTAACCAATTGTTAACGTCGACTTCTCAGATCATGTGAAGGTCAATATATGGTCTCATAAGGGGTTTCTAAGACTGTTTTTCAGGTTGCAAACATCCGGTTAGTTATGAAAAGACACAAATAAATGCATTGCTCGAATAGTTTTGCAACTTTGTAATCTGGTATTTGAACAGTTGCTGCAAAATTATTAGATGTGAGCAGCTCAATCCATATTAAACGTTCTATGTCTTTCATAATGATAAGAAACGCATTAAATAGATTGTTCTATTTTGTGATAGGGCATGGTTAAAATTGTTTTGCGGATAATTGTAAACCAAACGGGGGTAGGCGCGCCTAGAACGTCTGTTTTCTTCCTTCAAGGTAATTAGTAGTAAAAAATAATTCAGTTACAATATATTTAGAAACAATTCCTTTTTTATATTCGCTAATTAGACAGTATTTTTTTCACTGGAGTTTGATACACTCCAGTCCTGACCACACAGCTTTTACATGAAAATACTGTAATTTCAATAATTTACCTATTTTGATTATGGTAGATTCTGTTTTGAAATTTGGCGGGTCATGTGTTTTGACGTCATGGATGATACAACACGAACTTTGGATGCCTTAAATTGCCTTAAAATTGGGGATATTCATAAAGGTCTGTTAAGTATTTGTTATTTAAACGAACATTAATGAGTTATAATATCTGTGTCTTCATCAGTGTTTTTCTACGTTCAATCTAGGCTAGGCTAAGTAGCCTAGGAAGATTGATTGAAGTAGGCCTAGGTCCTAGGCTAGGCTAGCGTAGGGCCGGGCCGGGGTAGCCTAGGCTGGCTGACCCGGGCTAGGAATACTTTAGAACTAGCCTAGGCCTAGTTAGTATGTATGTAGACTAGTATGCCTAGCCTAAGTACTTTAAAACTACTTACTACTAGGCTAGCTAGAAACATAAAAAATTGAAATGTTGCAAATATTTTTTTAATTATTTTTATAAGAAAGACATAGCTGAGTGAAGCATTTTAAAACAAAAATTATGTAAATCGGACCAGTATCAGCGGAGATATTGCAATTTAAGTACGTTTTTCCCCGGGGAGTAATTCCTATTGTTTTTATTATCCAAGAAATGTGTCCCTAGTGTATAATTGTGTAGCATTTTAGGCCATGTTAATTACATTGTATTTATCAGTATTTATTTATGTAACATCACATTGTCTAATTATTATACATAATTAGTTATGTAATTATTAAGTTAGGTCAGCGGTCACCATATCATGTCAAAAGTCACTGTTTAAGGTCAAAGGTCACTGGTAAAGTTCAAATGTTTAAATATGAATTAATACTTTTCAGAGTGGAAATTTGAGTAATTAGCGAATTTTAAAATAATTATTTATTATGCACTAATATTAATAGGTCAGCGGTCACCATATCATGTCAAATGTCACTGTTTAAGGTCACCGGTAAAGGTCAAATGTTTAAATATGAATTAATACTTTTCAGAGTGGAAATTTGAGTAATTAGCGAATTTTAAAATTATTTATTATGCACTAATATTAATATTACTTTATATTATTGCCATAATTATTGTTAACTATTATTATTATTAATTTCATTACTAAAAGGGCATTGTCAAGGTCAGTTCCCAAAAATTGACAAAAAAAATTACACAGAACTACATTTTTTTTTTTTTTTTTTAATTACACAAGGCAGCAATCATTGATCAAATCTCTTTTGGGATATTTAGAGGTTCTGAAAAGAACCGTTTGTTTTGGAAAGCGTTGCTCATCATTTTCATTTTTCTTTTTTTCCAGATTCTCCAGTGATTTCGGTCAGATCTCAGTATCTTCTTCCGAAATCTTTTCAATGATGTTTCGTCTATTTCGACCCCAATAAAACACCGATGTTTTCAATGCGTTGCTGTTTAACTTTATTTCTTCCAACATAACGGTACAAAAGATACCATTTCCAACCAACAGTACGGTACATATGATACGCCGTCTAACAACGTAACAATATACAGTCTAACAAACGTCACGATTGAACTACAAAATAGTAACAATAGATAATAAATAACGATAATCATCAATCAATCAATAACTAATCATATTAACAATTAATAAGACTTACGAATTGGTCCTCATATCCCATAATGGCAATTTTTTATCTAAAATAATACTTGACAATTACAAACGTTTATAATTTGTTATATACTTATATTAGATTTCATAATAAACATCAAATTTATATTAGGCTAGATTTCATAATTATTATAAACTTATAAACTGATAGATTCTACGTAAAATAGATAGAAATCTCCTAACTCTACACTAGGCCTAACTGTAGGCTCAGACAACACGGTAGCCAGCGGGGAAAACATCGTTTACCCCGCGTGTAGCCGCCGTAAAATTATCAAGGGGCGCCCTCTATACGTTGAAGCCGAGCCTAGCTCCAGTACGAGACAAGGTAATAGAATAATATATTTCGGAAAATCTTTTAAAATTATTGGTACAACAATTATTATTTAAAACATACTTACCTTTATAGTTTAAAAACTGAAGAAAAAAAAAAACCGTTAACAAAAAAACTAGCGAAGGATTTCTTCTATTCTTGAAAAGCGTCTAAACATTGTTGTAAAAAAAAAAACTTTTACCGAGTCGATTCGCGCACTTGAATTTATTTCTGGAGAGTTATCCGGAACTATTTCGGCCAAATTGTGATATATATCCGCGAAATACCCAATTAATACATTGGGTATCCTATCATCCGTCGGGGCACTATTTTCTATCGCGATGTTTGGAACTCCGAAAAACAGCGCACCCTATCGGTTTTGTTTCTAGCTAACTAGGCCTACTGGGCCCACGGGGGGGGGGGGGCCTAACTAGGCTATGCCTAGGCAAGGCCAAGGAAGGGGCAAGGCTAGGCCTACTAGCTAGGCCTAGGCCCTAACTAGGGAATTGATTGATTGAGACGAGTTCTTTTTGTTTTTTTAGTGAGTGGATGATATCAAACGTTTGTGTTTTTTTAGTTTTAGGCCACGGGAATGAAAGTTGTAGGTTTGCGTCCACCGCCCGCATGCCTAAAAAGCTACCGCACGAAAATTTTCATTATTTTGAAAAATTCATTATTTTGAAAAAAAATATACTTCGTTTTAAAAAACGGACTTTCTAAGCCGTAAACAGACAGAAAAACGATCTATTCATCACTGATCACTCGTCGCGAACACCGAGCGAAGGCAGGCCTAGCCACATCGCACCATGATCGCCGATCACTGCTGAGGTCATTTACGGGTCAAATCGATCTTTCTGACCAATAGGAAATCTCGTATGTTTAAAGAGGTCTTAAATGTAGAAAAGGATCTGTTTTATAGGCTAGTGTACATTTATGACTGTAAGCATTGTTTCTTGGGAATAAATGTAAAATTACCAATGCCGCGGCTTGTGGACAGCATTTATTAAAAAAAATAATGAAAAATGAAAAAATGCCTCATGTGTTTTCAAAATTTTTCGGACGCAAACCTACAACTTTCATTCTCGTGGCCTTACTATAATATTATTAATAAATCTTATGGTCTGAGTCTTGTGAGGTTTAGTGGTATGTCACTTGGGTTTCTGGACAAAACAACAAAAAACGAAAACGGCAATGACCAAAACAGCAATGATAAGTACCATAACGGCAACAGACCAAAATGACAATGTCAATTACCAAAACGACAATAGGCATAGACCAAAACAGTAAAGAATAAAGGAGCAAAAGCCAATGCCAAGACTAAATCGCCACCGGGCGCGGGCAGCAGTTTATAATTTTCTGAATCGTTTTTTTTTTTGCTTTCTTTTACACATCCATGATGAATTATTTTGTTATTTTAAAGTGTTATTTATTATATATATTTTTTTCTTTCCCATTTTTTACTTTCATGACATTACTATTGAATTTGTATGTTGTACAGTATTGTTGTTGTTGTTGTTGTTGTTGTTGTTGTTGTTTTTATTATTATTATTATTTATTATTATTATTAATGTTTTTATTATTAATTTTGTTATTCTTTAAAGTGTTTTTTTTTTCTTTCACGCTTTTTTACTTTTATGAAATAAATTGTTTAGCCTCATTTTGTCTGTATTTTAAAGTTTTAATTATTTAAATGTTTACTGCTTTTATGTTGTGATTCCCCCAATCTTTTTACTATTGAATTTGTATGTTATACTATTATTATTATATTTATTATTATTATTATTGTTATTATTATTATTATTTATTATTATTATTATTATTGTTAGAAAATCTTCATATGCAGTTACAGTTTACTATTTAGAGAGAACGATTGGAATCTAAAACAATCAATGAATTTAAATCGGGCTTTGCCAAATTTTGGTCCGACCTTAAGTTTCACCGTATGTTACGGAAGAGTTGGAACTAATGATAATAAATGTATGACCTGTTGTCTTAATCTACAGAAATACCAGATCTAGAAAGTCTTTGGAATCAAGATTTGCTCGATCAGATCCGCCTACCAGAGGACTTAAAACAATGCATTGCTGACGAACGATACCTTGTACCCCAGTTGACGAGGGCAGTAGAAGTATGTAGGGTCTGGACAAATGACTCGCAAGACTCCAAGAGTAAGTATGATGAGCAAAGTACAGTACACATGTTCCAATCATCCTGATTCGAGCAGAGCCTCCTTAATTTTCATGCAATCCCTGGTCTCCCGCATTTCGTCAAATTGTCCCTAATTTTCAGAAAAAAAAACCCAAAATACCAAAAACAGCTAATTTAGTGGTTTTTTTATACCAATAATTCAGTATTTTTTGTCAATTTATCGTTTTGCACCAACCTTTATCAATGATGTCGGTGTACGCGACTTTCTAAGGGTTGCTGACACCTCAAAAGGTCAGAATGTATATTTGGAAAAAAATTATTTTTCAACATTTCTGGGGTTGGAGCTCACTTCACCAGTGCACATCCAGTCTCGAATTTAAATTCCAGGAGTTGGAATGTTCGAGAGTATTTTAGTTTTTTTACAATGTGTATGTTTAGTCACAATATTGAATACTAGCTTGATATGATAACTACCTATTCCTGGATACTGTATATCACGTCTTATCATGATAAGGCGAGACTTTTTTTATACCTTGTTTTGTGAACCCTCCGACTGCAAATACTAATGATTTCTAATAAAAATAAAATGTTATTTTTGACCAATTAGTGCACCCGCTGCCATGAAAAAGTGGAAATTAAAAAAAAATAAAAGTTTTTCTTTATTTTTATTACACCCTCCGCTGTCTTGAAATCTCCAAAGATAAGATATGAATATTTCTTTCTAATTATATATATTTGAAGCATTTAATCATCCTAGTTTACATTCACCAATAAAATTTTATTTTCATTTTCTCCATCTGGATGATTTTGGCAAAACTATTTGCTAAATAAGAAAACAAATTTTTATTTTTATTCCGCCCTCCTACGATAATGTTTAAAAAATAAGTATGCAAAACAAGGAATAAAAAATTGTTTTTAGTCTGTGTGTAATTAAGTTTAACAACTTTCAATGATACTTTGCAGGGCGGATTTAGGGGCGTGCCAGGCTGTCTGCGGCTGCTCCCCCCCCCCCTCTCTTTTGGAAAGTAAAGAAAAAGGGAAGAAAGAAAGAAAAAATTAATGATCACCAAAGACACCTCAGAGTTTATTTTTGGGCGTCTAGAAAACAAAAATTTTGTGGTGAATGCCCCTAGGGTAGTTTTGTCTTGATCGGGGGGGGGGCCCTTTGGACATCTCTACTTTGATCTTTATGAACAATTGCTCAGTTCAAATCATCAAATCAGTTTTCAAATTCCAATGCAATTAAATTCCAATGCAATTAAAACAATTCATCCATATATGCATTTTTACCATACAAGTTTTTAAAAAAATTCCAGAGAAACTATAATATTAATTAATATGTCTGTTAATTGGGTGGAAAATATTTTATTTTTGGAGCAAGCACAAATTATAATGGAACTAAAAGTTTTAGTTTTCATAATTTAGTAATTCCATTTCAGTCTAAAATATATTTAATATTTTTATTATTTATTATTTATTCTATGTTTTTCTCTTTATCAAAGTTTTCTGGGACATATTCCAAGAGAAGGCAGTCTCTCCTCGAACTCTGTTGGTTCTTCTCTGTCATTTACTAGACTCTGCTGACAGATACCTATCAAATATTTATCAACGAGAAGCAGCTACACTTGCAACCACTCTCTACTTTATTATCCTACAGATTCCCGGTAAGCTTCCTCTAAACATGCCAATGAGTAAAAAGCATTTTATTTCTCATCATGTGAGTTTTTTTATTCATGTGCAAATTGTTAAGCCATAGAGTTGTTAAATACTGTATGAATTCTAGAGTGATGTGATGTGACCATATGAGCATGATGATGTCATATTACACCCAAATATGGGCATATCACATTTTTTGTAACTTACAGTGTGGACAAAGGTTAAGGTTGACAATTCTTTTATTCATTTCAATTAATTTTTAAATGAAAAAGATCCCAAATTATGAAAGTAAATAAGATTTTTACTGAAAAGAGACAGATAAAAATAAGAAGAGTAATTTTAGATTGATTTTTTAAAATTTTCATTCATTTTGTTTCATAGGAAGCGGTGCTTATAATATTCTCCATCCAATACTGTTTGAAAAAGCTTTAGATGCATTCAAGTTATGGCCCAGAGATGGTAAGGATGCCCCCTTTCTTCCATGTCTTTCTATGTACACAACATATTAATAATAATAATGATAATGATAACAATACAATGCACTGAAGTAATAAGAATAAGCCGCAGATTAAGGCCGTAAAAAGTACGGTCGGAGGAATCATGAATGTCCCGGAGGCATTTTTGGAGGAAAAAATTCCGAAAAATAAACTGTTGAGCTATATAGTGTTCAGATAACATCGAGACAATTTCCATGGTGGGCGGCACAAACATATTTTTTTTCCATGCCTGCCTCAGCATATGATTGGTAAATGTAATGTAATGTAGGATTTATATAGAGCTTTATAGCAAAGTCTCAAAGCACTTGAGGTGTCGACCAGCTCATAGAGTAACTTGCTTCTCCCCTGAGGATCTCTTCATTTCTGAGCTACCCGGTAAACTAGTACCAGCTACCCTTGTCTGTCCACAACATGGGCTGTATGGACCAGTACACCAGGGTAACCCTCTACTGGTCTTGATAGATGTACTGAGTTCAATTAATAAGTTAATTATAAAGAAAGTAGAGTGAATACATTCCAAAAATGTGTCATGGTTCACACCATATTTTATAGTACCTGGTAAGAGGAAACGCAAGGAATCCCAAGCATCGTCCAGTCAAGGGTTGGGGAAGAGGCAACACCAGGCCAGCTCACAACCGGCTACAGCAGCAGAAGACATGGACGTAGAAAATAATGACGAGGACAGTGATGACGATGATGTTACGACCACTCTTACAGCAGTTGAAATAAACAAACTGAAAGGTTGTCTATTCCGTACATTGAAGGTAAATATTTTATTGCAGTATTTTATTATATAGTTATTGTTATCACTGTAGATGCATTAAAAGTAAAGTCTAATTTATAAAATAATCATTCTAAAAAATGTATATAAAATCATTGTTATTTACCAAGCCAAATGATATGCACAGTGAATTTTAGTGCTTTGATGGGCTTAATCAAAAATGTATTTTGTGACATTTTTGTCGAATCCAGGAAGTAAACAAATCTTTAAGTGCTCTTATACTGTTTATTTTGTAGGAATTGGTGAGCTTGTTAGATAACTATTCACTGAAGCAGTCTGAACATTGTTGTCAACTTGTTCTGCAAGTACTAACAGATCTAACTAAAGCTGAGCCAAATATACAACATCTAGAATTCACCAATAACAGGTATGTACTGGAATCGCCTAAACTCCAGTCTAAGTCTTGAAATATATTTTATATCTCTAATAATTCAAAATATCTACCCAAATAAAAAATAAAAATTTTTTTTGACTAAATTTGATTCTCAACAGAACAAAATCATGTAGTGAATTGGCTTTCATTGGCTTGACTAGCCTCTGCACTCCAGCCCATGGCGACGTGGATGTAACTGTAAGAAATGTAGGTATATTAGGCATCTTGTTTTCAATGTTTTGAGTAGTTGGCAATTTATTATTTATTACTTAAAGGAAGAATTGAATTTAATGAGATAAAAAAAAATGTACTCTTTCTGCTTTCGAAAACCGTTTTAAACTATGCACATATTTTGACTCTATGTAGCGGTGGCAAGAGGATCTTTGTGTCCTCTATTTTCTAGTTACACAAATTGATGTTTGTTGTTGCCTTGCTCTAATATATCCTTAAGACATGCGGTCATTGCGCCCGATGGTCGTAGCCGACCCGAATCTATGGAGAACGCAGCACCATGTCGCGCATGTAATGGATCCTTTTTAATGATGATCCGTTTCAACTGTCACCGATAATCAGCAGACACTTTTACATCGTCTAACGCTCGCAGGATTCGTCTGCCGATGGTAATACAGAACAGCGAGTGTCCAGCTTTAAGACTAGTATTGGAGTGTACCCTCACTAGATTGGCTACTGTTTATTTATTGAATGATCCTGACTTCCCGGTTATTTTCTAGGTATTCAGGTATTTGATGCCAAGTATACTTATGTTGATTGGTGAAAACGAGGGAGTAGCGGTATCAACGATTCCTAAGGAAGTACAAAATATCAAAGATAATGCAGTGGCTTATGTCTGGTTTGTTTTTATTTTGATTATTAATAATGGTACTAATATACAGATTTATTATTAGTGGCAGGTTCAATGTGGAGGGGGGGGGGTAGCCAGCGGTTCCCCTAAATTTTTCAAAATTAAAAAAATAAAATTAAGAAAAAAGAAAAAATTATATTCAAATTTTAAGTCTGAAAGTGCAATTGCCGGCCATCTAGAGTTCCCATAATGAAAAATGTTCTTACCTCAGACCCAACTATAGTGGGGCTGAGGTGGTATAGACAATGCAAGGCGCATACTTAAAAAAAACTGACCAAAAAAAAAAAATTTCGAAAACCAAGCAAACCAAGTTAGAAACAAATAGATGATGTTGTGCCACATAAAAACCTAACCAAACAGATTTAACAGGGAAAAACAAGATTAAGATGGTATAAATGGCAATAACAAAATGAAGATGGGCTGGATATTTTATTAGAGGATAAGATGGATGATGGAGCATAACAAAAGAATGGGAATCGCTATACAGCGAGAGAACACAAGGAAGACCAAGGCAGGTGGAGAAATTAGATCAATTATCAACTGGTACAATGGCATGGCACAGAATGACAAAAATAAACATGTGATTGAAGAGGCCTTTGCCCTGCAGTAAGATGATATAAGCTGAAGACGAGAAATTAATTTGTTGTGATATTTCAAACTCTATTTTTTAAAAATGTCATTAATGATGGTAATCTTATGTTAGTGACTATCAGTCAAATTAAGGGTTTGTGATGAATAGTGTGGCAAAATATTTCTTCATTCTAATCTTCAATGAAAATCTTAAATGTGCAAATTAATCATTTCAGATATTAAAATTTATTTATCAATATCTATAGCACATAATAAACTGTTTTAAACATATCCAAAGAGTATAGAATGGCGTCCTTCAAAAAAGAAAATATACATGTAAAAATTGTTCGTATAGAAAATATCCTACTTGTAAAGAATGTCTGTTTGAATTTAAATTCTAATAGGGCACCTTCTATCTTGGGGTAGTACTTTGGAAGTTTGAATGCTATTTCCGACCATCTAGGGGTGCCATAATCATAATTGGTCAAACTTTAGCCCCAAAAATGGAAGAGCTTGGTGGTCTTTGAAAATCCTTTCCTGGGTCCCCTCTATTTCGAACTTCTGGATCCGCCGTTGCTGCTATACCTGTGAGCATATAATGAACGCTTTTAATGATGTTTTAAATGTTACTTACAGTTACATTATCAGTAAGTTTGGTGAGCCCTCATTTATAAGTACACGTGTCCTGCTTCAACACCTGTGTGTCAAGGTTCCCGACAGGTCAGAGTATCGACCTCGAATTGCTTCCAGTGTCACTACCATCCTTGCAACTTTACCAACAAGTTTCAATGCTAGTTTTATGCAATGGCTTTACAAATATTCCAAGAATACAAAGGTAAATGTTTACTTACAGTAGAACCTAGTTTTTACGTACCTCAGTTATACGAACCCTCAATTTTAGATACGCTTCCTATGGATGATGACGTCATCACTATTAGTGACACCTAATATAAGTTTGTTTCTATTAGATTATTGTCAAATAAAGAGTTATCAACGTTTCAATTACTTTTTTTTTCATATGAGTTGTCAAATTAGTGTCTTATTTAACAGCAACGTTGATTTGTGTCTATAAACGTGCTGTTATAATCTAAAACCCCTTAAAAATGTGGGGACTGAGTGAGATACACTGTGGTGTACAAAATAATTTCTTTCCTACTTTGTGTTTGGCCTACCTACAAAATATCCTACAATGTCGTAATAAAGTGTACAAATATTAAACATTAAAGAAATTTAAATAATAAACAATAATTTAAAGAATAAGGAAAGTCACTGAATATAAATTCCTCTTTGTTTACATCAGAATTTTCATAAATTTAGTAATATAATAATGCACAGACAAACAGATATTATAAAACAGTTATTAATGTTATAGTACCTTATTTGTCTTTAGATTGGATTCCGTGTCTTTGCTTTAGAAGTTGTTAGTGTAATGTTGGAAAATTCACAGAAAAACTCCCACCAAGGTTTGTATCTACAGTTTAGGTTTTAGTATACTTTCATGCATTTTAAATCTATTTTTTATTGAATGTGATGCTGCATATATTTCTTGTCTGTTTCCTTTCGTTGTCAAGTGCCTCAAGGTGGGTTAAGTGGGAGGCGATATACAAATCACAAATTATGATGTCTCATCACATCCATATGGTATTTGCTACTTAAAACTTGATAATGTGCACAAAGGTTAAAGCCTTTATTGTAATCTTTTTTCAGGGGGTGTAAATGGTGTCCCTGATACCCAACAGGTAACCTCTCACCAGGTGTTGCTTCGAATGTTGTTGAGCCGATGTTCTGACAAAGCACCTACGTAAGAATTATATTTTACACTTAGATGAAACCTGTAATACAATACTTAAATGTATTAAATGACTTAATAAGCAATTATTGTATTTGTGTATCATACGCTAGTGGAAATTATTATATGAAGTTTAGATTAATGCTTAAAAATTAATGAAAAATTAGTGCATGGTTGGGAATAGCAGAATAACATTGCAAGTTGCAGTGATGACATCACAGTTGACTTATAGCATTTGTTATTGTATCCCTTCGTTGTTCACTAAGTATTCACGTTATAAAAACTGTTCTTGTAATTATTTAACAGAACTACTACAAAAACAAGAAATATTTGTGACTGGTTGTAATTTGATTTATTGTTTTGCTGTTACATCACTTAAGAAATTTCCTTTTTACTTTCAACAGTGTTCGTGCGAAAGCTCTATCCTGTTTTGCCACATTCACGTCATCTGGCGATCCGACTGTCCTTCAAGTTCTCAACAGCCTGTTTAAGAAATCTGATCAACCAATAGCTGATAGTACTCCAGCTAACTTACCAGTAACAGATAAACCAACAGAGAATGGTAATAATACCACAACTGGCCCAGCAGAAAATGGGGCCAGTGGTAAGGTTGATGGTGGTGAGGTTCCTCAACAAGGAGGGAAGAATGGCGCTACACCAGGAAACCTAGGTGGTGGTTCACCAGCAATGATGCTGAATATGTCAGAGGATACATGTAAGATGATTAATATCAATCAATTATCAATTCTCTTTATTTCAGACAAAAAAAAAACCAATGCAGACAATAATTAAGAATTACTATACTTTTTTATATACAGGCTGTGTACAGTGGCGTATCTATGGGAAGGTTCGGGGGAGTCCTCCCTACCATTTTAAGACACTTAGATATACCACTGGCTGTGTACAGTAATATAAATACCTCTTTGAAATAGGAATATGACTTTGTGTACTGGAGAGCTTGTATTAGTTCAATAGACATTCAAATAAAATATTTTAATATATGCGATATAAAACATAAGTGTTTGTTTTAAATTGTGCTCAAATTTGAACCAATAATCCTGAAATTACAGAGTGCCATAACTAATATGGTTTAGATCCCAAACTAACTTTATTTTTTCTTTTGTCCAGTAGCAACACAGGATGGTCTAGGCATGGTTGCCATGCTGCGCAGCAGAGTAGCTGACCTCAAGGTTGGAGTACGTAAGGCCGCGATACAGGCAAGTATTTTAGCTACCTTGTAGGTTACAAGTTTTTATACTTACTACCCACAATTGACATGTCTACAAGGACGCGAAGCCCCGCCCACAAAGTCACAAAAACCTTAGACAATTGCGGCTAGACTTACCGAGTAGACAAAGATTTTCTTTGCTATCAACCTTCTTTAAGAAAGAGAATTCAGGGTAGGCGGTATCAAATAAATCATATATTCATAGTGTTAATCTATTTCATGGAACATGGCGGGGAAATTGTTGTAAAAGCCTCTGTATTTCGCTCCCAAAGGAAGAGGGAAAAGCCGCATTCAGTCAACCTTGTTGTTTTCAAAGGCCAAGTCACGGATGTGCACTGCTCGTGTAAATCTGGGTATCTATAACCAAGCATAGACATCTAGGCCTAGGCTCACATATGTTTGCGTACCAGCTGTCTAAGGAAATTAAAATGTTCGAGAAAAAGTTTTTGATCACATGATTAAATGACGCTCGCTGATTAGTTGGTTTGTCTGTCAATCAATCTCGTCGAGTTGTTAATTATTTTCTCTACTACTGATTATTCTCATAAGCCCTGTCCAAACTAAAAAGAATTTTTGACAAACACATGTGACATGCCTTAATATGGTCATGATGACGTCACATCATGATCATATATTGGGCATAGATAGAGAAAGAGAGTGTTAGATATGTAGGCTTTCCTCACTGGTGTCATATATCTCCACATTCATATACTTCTATGGGATATTATTCTTGCAGGCTTTATCAAATATTATAGCACTGGATGCAACGTTTGTGAATGAGCAGGACATCGAGGTGCTTTACAACCACTGCATGGATCCAGCTTTGTCAGTTCGCAAGCAAGCACTCAATTCAATTACAAATTTGCTGCTTCTTAGTCCTGAAAGTCCAGTGCAGCAAAGGTTGGTTATTAATACTAGAGTTAATACAATTCATGAATAAAATAGTACATAAAAAAAAATAAACAATTCATACTTAATATGTTGTGTAGGACTTAACGTGTTATAGTGTACTGGTGGTGTTTGTACCCCACTCTTTATAACCACTGTATAGATTCAGCTCTGTTCGCAAGCATGTGCTGAATTCAATTACAAATTTGCTGCTTCTCAGTCCTGAAAATACAGTGCAGCAAATCTTGGCTATTTATACTAGAGTTAATATAATTCATACTTGTGTGACTGATGTTACCATAATAGCTATCAACATGGTATTAGTACCTGTCTTTTTTGTAACTTTATAGTTAGCAAGTGTTAGACCCTCTGCAAAGCTGATCATTTAGGATCATCAGTACTCCTAAACCTAGTCATTGGGGCTGCTTGCAGAATTTTTTTAATTTAAAAGTATATTTTTAAACAAATTAAAAGTGTTTATCCTCCTCAGGATGTGGCTGATTGCTGTGTTACCGATGGTTATGGACAAAGAAGTTACAGCACAAGAACGATGTTTACAGATACTGGAGGAGGTGATTCTACAGAAGGTGAACCATTATAAGAAGTCTACACAAGTATCACACACCTTAGCATGGAGGCTGCTGAGTTTTGTCGCCGGATCAGAAGGGTTTGCTGTTAGGTAAACATCTTTTTTGTAAATACAAAGCGAGGGATTGATGATTACAATTTTAGTAATGATGGTGATGATGATGATCTAGATGTTAATAATAATGATGATGACAATGTAAGCAATATATAATGATAAATGACAAGGAGGATTTTTTGCAATTACATAATGCTTTTAACAGCGTGCCTCGAAGCACTTCACATTGAAACCTGAAGTAGTATTGTGTGTTGGGATTTATTTTACAGAAAATACTTCCAGAAAGCATGTTCAATGTGGGCACGTCAGAAGAAGCTGAACAAGAGGATAGTTGAGGCTCTAATCTCACACATTGATACGCCAAATAGAGAGGTAACAACCTTTTTTAAAAATTACCCATTTTTAAAAGTATAATTCCTATCTTGTCTTTTTATATCAATTTGAAATAATAGTGAGATGTTGTTAGCCTAAATATGACTGGTAAGCCAGACAGCTGGTAGGTCAGTGGACATTTTATGTTTGAAAAAATTCATCTGGATCCAATATTAAATATTGGGTTGTTTATTTCTTTTTTGATGATCTAATTAATATTCATAAAAAATATTTTTAAAAACGTACTCACGACATTTCACTGATACTCTATCAGCATTCTCAAGTGAACTGTGATGTAATCACAGCTTGGTCATAGTGTAACGTCGATCGTGTTGAGGTCGAAGTGTGCCATCAGTCGTCTTGTTATGATGACTGGTAGTCATTTTAATCTTTGCGACTTGTGTTCCCGGCGTCTTGTATACCATGCATCTTGTAGGCCATGCGGCTTGTAAGACAAATGGCTGGAAATCTTAAGTACCTGATGATGCAGGCAGCTGGTAGGTTAGGTTAATTGTAGGCCTGTTGGCTAGTAGGATAGCTGGCTAGTCATCCTTAGTAATAAACCTTAAACATTTCTAGTTTAGGCCCCGTGTTAGTGTTTTTCATGTCTAACTCAAGCTGTCTTAACAGTATAGTATTTCTCTAATAGTTTATAATTGTTCTGTTATTGTAGGCAGCTTGGATGCTACTTTCTTATACCTCAATGTGTACAAGCGATGTATGTGCAGACTTTGTGGTTGAATCATGGCATCGCTATACTTTACCCGGTGAAGAGGTCAGCTTGCAGACTCTGTGCTGTGTCTTGACTGTGCTGGGGGTAATGGCTGACCGCCTGGATTCTAATACAATTGAGAGTCTCACAAATGAGCTGAGCCTACGTCTTCAGAAATTTGATGCTCCAACAGAACTGATTGTTGACTATATTCGTACATTATGTAAGGTAAATTTTGTAGTCATGAATTACTTTCAATTTTGTGGTAATAATACTCAATGTTCAGTTTCACCCCTGTGGCACTAATCCTTTCCAAATGCTATTCTTTCATGTGAAGACAACACAATATCAAGAAATCCTTTTCATTGTTATTATGTTTGCAGTTGTGTTCAGCTCAAAACAGTTCTGTAGAAGATTTCCAGAAAGTAATAGCAGTAGTTTGTAAGGACATTCTAAAGTCATGTGACCATTACTTATCATCTGTTGTCCTGACCGAGGACCAATCACAGACAAGCTGGGACGAGGAAAGACTTTTGAAGCATCTGTTTACATTGGGAGAGGTGGCACAACTCTGTCCTAATAATATGACCTCAAGATTGTTTATGCTGGTACAGTCATTACTTGCTGGTTCTAGTGCTATTATTGGAGGTATGTAGTAAATAGGATGTTGATTAGAAACTGTAGTCAGTGTTAATAAAGCATGTGAGGTAGAGGTAGGAAAATAAGCCATAACACGTATTATATGGGCCAGTGATAGATTCATAGGTAACCGCTATTCTTCTGAAAGATGCAGTCCTCTAAGGTGAACACAATCTAAATATCTGCACTGGAGCTCAGACTTAAGTTTTTTCCAGGATGACTTGACTCTACACTTGAAGAGAACGGGTCTCAAACTAGTGCTGGTGTTAAGGCTACTTCTGCCTTACCACTTTACTTGTCGTATCTAAAACTAGAAGATATATCTATTCTCTTGTATCTTCAAAGTTTTTTGGGTTTTTTTCTTGTGCACTCACCTGTTATAAGATATTTGTCTTCAATCTAGAAAATGGTCTCCCATCAACCCAGCAATGTACCCTTTCGTCTCAAACACAAGTACATATATCGCAGTTTTGTGGATCAAAGATGTCGGATAAGGTACGTGCCTATGCCTTCATTACCGTGGGCAAGCTGTGCCTGCAGCACGAGTCACTGGCCAAGCAAACCGTCGCGGCGATCGCCCGTGAAATGGAGACCTCGACTGACACAGCCACCCGAAATAATGTTGTCATTGTGATGTGTGACCTCTGTAAAAGGTGAGTGATTTCTAATGTGAATGTTTCGCATGTACACACATCTACACCCCATTCACTGTACACTACCCAAAACAAATGCATATATCCTCCATACACAACTCCATAAACACATAACCTTATTTTCCTCCAGATAAAATAACCACACATACACCATTCTCTGATCACATATCCATATGCATCTTTCAAAAACATGCTTATGAATCACTCTTTTCTGAAAGCACATACTTGTACTCTTAAAACATCTACTCTATACACTCTTTCCTAAACATACCAATATTGCCTTCTCCAAAACACCCATACTCACAAAAGAATCCAATACATCTTCCAAAACAAACCCATATACACCCCACCCCACAACATACTCATATACACTTTTTCAAAATATATCTATAAACTCAAAAACACAAGTCCATATGTCCCCCTTCAAAACATAGCCATATATTCCTTCTTAGAAACATACTCCCCTCCATAACATGCTCACACCTAAGTATTGCTATACTGCTCATGCTTGAATTTTTTTATGTGGTTTCCATTATAATATTGTATATTTTTGTGTGATTTTCTTTTTAGGTATCCAAATCTTGTGTATCATTACATTCCAAATATTGCCTCTTGCTTGAAGGATGAGTCCCCGTTGATACGCAGGCAGACGTTGACACTTCTCACACATCTGTTGTTGGTAAGTCGTTAATAGTTAAGAACTATCAGGCTTAGAGTTGGCATGGTTTTAACTCTTTATTCCTATATTTCTCATACTTTTTGGGATTGGACCAACAAGTTGTCACTCCACTTATAAATATAATAATAATAAAGTGGGATTTGTAAAGCGCATAGTACAGGTCTCTATGCGCTAGCAACTTGTAAATGAAAGTAAACTAAAAAAATGAATGTTAAGAGGATTCTTAGAGATCTCAACAGAAGGAGACTCACGAATAGAAATAGGCAAGCTATTCCGCACCTTGGGAGCAGCAACGGAGAATGCTCTTATCCCATACGTTTTTGTACGACATGGAGGGGCGAAACAATGTAGATGAACTAGATGTGGATCTGAGAGCTCAAGAACAAGTGGTGGAGTGAAGTAACTAGGACACTGGAGTTGGACCAACAACCTAGATAATGGGCTGACTTTACTTCATGATGGGATCAGCTCCTTGGATATAAGTAATAACAGTTTGATATTTCTCCTTACATTCATAGGAAGACTTCATCAAATGGCGTGGATGTTTGTTCTTCCGTTTCATAATGACAATGGTGGATGAAGTTCAAGAAATCAAAGAATTTGGTGAGTAGGTATTAAATATCTTGCTAAACCACTGTATATAGTTATTCATAATGCCTCTAAATTTCTTGACCTCCGTATGTTCCTTTTTAAGTAGGTAATAATGTCTAGATGTCAACATAAGTTGTAGGCCCAAGGTTTTAGACAAGGGAGCTTAATTGTTTCCGGTAATAATCTGTATATCCATGTATCTCAATACAGATTTTTGTCATTAATATCTCACTGATTTTTATTCAGAGTGTTATTTTTCTTGACAGCTCAACTGTGCTTTAAACAACTGCTGTTGCCTCGACATCCAAACCTCCTGTTTCAGCACTTTGTTGAATGCATCTACCACTTCAATTCATATGAGAAACACAATGGTGGGTTTGAAGCTTTTATTTTTATAAAACTGATAATTACAATTTGTAAATTATGTCTTCCTTCCTGGAAATTGATACAGGTTTTGTTGAAAAATACAATTAAACATTTGTATATGTTAAGTAGAACTAGTAAACAATGTCCTTATAACATTACATATTCTTGGCATATAGCTATAATATGTCTGCCAGTTTAAAGGTTTTTGTGATAAACTATGCAAATCAGGAAAAACCGTTTTGATCAGTGTCTTATTAGAAGTTTATTTCTAAATGAGCTGTTCATTATTTAAGTCAATGTTTGCGTTCTTTTACTGTGTTTAATTCCTTGCATTCTTATTGATTTTAAATCTTAAATTTTGGCTATTTTTGTGTTCATCTCACTTAGGCCCCTCTCTATTTTTTAAACATGCCATTTTGGGCTTCATAAAGGTTCCTTCCTGTCTTGCTTCAATTTTATTTTGTCTGTTAATGTATATATATTTGAAAAATAAAAATTTTGTATTGTGTACGATATCTTTAAAGTGGGTGTTGGTTTGTTTATCTTGTAGTATACAACCAGTTCCCTCAAACTGATAAAGAGAAACAGACTTTCTCGCTGAAGGGCCCTGCAAACCAAGAGAAACGCCTCAAACTCTACACATTTATGTTAGAGAATATGAAAGATGACCACAGATTCCAGATTGTAGCTAAGCTGACTCAGGAGGTATGTATATTTGGGTATGATTTGATTACCCTGGTCAATTTTTATACATTTACTTTTTAAATGTGTTGAGTATAGATATGCAAATTGTCTCGTACGTATGTTCACACACTACATATTACCCTCAAAACCCCACAGACATAAGCAATCCCTATTGTCTGATTACCAGAACAATAAATTTCCTCAACTGGACATCCCATTTCAAACTTAATACAGCCACATTTTACACTCAAACCCTACCAATACACATACCCATACACTACCTTTATACTCTACACTCATACACACATTTTACCTTCACATCCTCAATCAAACATACAAGCATATTAACAAATAATTGCATGTATTAGTTTAAGAGTCAGTAGATATTTGTTAGTTGGTATTTATATAGCGCCTATTCCTATAAGTTACAAAGCGCTGTTTTCCCTGGTCATTTGGTCTACATGCTGAAGTGTGACTGCCATAATTGGCACAGTAGCAGGCAACCCAACCAGGTACCGATATACACCTGGTGGGTGAAGCATTATTAACAAATAAATACATTGATGTTTATATTTTAACTTGTAGATTATTGCTGCCGTTGTAGATGATATATTACCCTTCGACCAGCATACAACTGTTCTCCTTCAGGACACCCTTACAATCATGAGTAGTAAGGTGAGTATGCGTGGAATTTTTGCAACGGGCAGAGACAGAGAATTGTGGAAAGTCATGATCGACAACATCCTATTACTCAGTACATGATGAGGATGATATTACTTTATTAATTTTTTCTTCAATATGCAATCACTTGTTCTTAGAAGAAAAAAAAATCTTTATTTAAACAATTTCAGGAGATAAAGTTGTCATCATTACGCAATAAGACAATTGACGAACCGGCTGACGAGATGGAGATGGCTGGAGCAGTGATGCAACAAGCCAAGACTAAGCTCCTCACACAAGTGGTTAAGAAGAATGTCATTGAAAACATTGTTCCTATTATTATCTCATTGAAACATTTGGTGAGTTGCATAATAAAAAACTTTTTTCTAACAGTCCAGCTTTAAGTATGTAAATGCTAGTCAGAATTTTGGTAATTGTAAGATCCTAATGACTAAGTAGATAATAAAAGTACTGTGTAATGTTTTCTGAGCAAATGGTGATTCTCATGCCAATTCAGCTTATGTCAACAGGTTTTAAGTATCTTATATTTTAACTTTCAGTTTCATCATTCATTATTATTGTTTAATTTCATAGCTTGAGAAACATCGGTCTCCTGTATTGAAATACCTTATGATGTATCTGAAGGAACTGATGAAAGATTACAGAAATGAAGTGAAAGGTACATTTTTTTTATAAGAAGTTTTAGTAAAATATTCAAAACATCCACACATATATATACTAAAGATAAAAATTAAAGTAATGAGATGTATGAAGTATATATAAAGGTATAGGTAGGATATAACTCACAGTGTCATTGTGCTGAATTGTGTATGGTTGAGGTACAGGCCCGGGATTTATCAATCTCGGCTTAGTAAATGTCTTAAGTCATAAACGTTTAGAAGTCCCTACTAAGCAAATATCTAAAGCTGATTTTTCAAATCATCTCAGAAAATCTTAGCTTAAAATCGTCTTAGATGGTTCATCCGTGCAAAAATCGACTTATTAATTTTAAGCAATTTTTAAGTTTAGGCATGGCAAAAGTGATAAATTGGACTTAAGCAAAAAAATGGACTTAAGATGAACTTAAGCTGATTTTTAGTTTGATAAATCTGCCCCCTAGACTACCTAGATGCCAGAGGCACTTATAGTAGTTTGATGTTTTCTCGAACCAGTGCCAATGTGAAGGCTGTATGTAGTTAGTGGTGCCTCTGCCTAAACGCTCGGCCACTTGACTCATCCTATACTGCTCCAGTGTGGTTTATTCATCAAGGAGTTAAAGATTTAATTGCTGCGAAGCAGCCAATTCATATTCTTGACAGCAATTTGACCTTTGAAAGGTCATTGTTTGTCAAAAATCAATGGCCTAAGACGACTGAAAAGCGGAGTTTACTTATTTTGTTCTGCCGGGTAAAATCAATTACTTTAGGCGACGTTTGTAGACTAACATACTCGTACCAACGTCTGCATGTCGCGCTATCCTTATCCTACTCTAGGCCTAGACTAGCTAGGATGGTATAGGCCTAGCCTTGAAGGGACGAAGGTCCCAATGAAAAACAACGTCGCTCTTTGATAGCTAACATTGTCTATATAACATCACAATAATTCACTATTAGACCTATAGTTGTTTTTTGAATTGTACTCCACAAATCTCAGCCGATACCTCGCACAAATCGTTAACGTCTCGTATCCATTGTCGTGACGTCATGGCTCGCTGGCCCACACTTGTGATGTCTCGCACTTGTGATCAAATAACACACTGGCTCGCACTTTGGCAACACTCTTTGGCAGTCAACTCGCCCTTAGAAAACCCGCCCTTGGAAACTTGCCCCATAAAAAAATGTAGGCCTACACTTCCTACATACATAGACATTTTTGAAACTTTATTTAAAAAAACCTAAACCATAATTCACCACTACAGACACTTTTTGACAAAAATGAAAAATTACGACTTTGTTACCCAATAAGAAGTGTTCTAATATAGACAATGGGTCGTGTCTCATATTATTTGTTATATTTTTATTATTCATTATTTTCACTTGACTCGCATAAATAATTTGTTCGAAGAACATTTATATGCAGTTGTACTTCGCAGCACTTCACTTGCAATTTGCAATTTCTAGTCTTGTGCTATTTTACAAAATATTGTAGATACAGTATTTATTAATTTTTTAAAACTTAATTTTATGTTGTTGTTTTATTGCTTGGCAGATATTATGTCTGCTGACCGCCAGCTGGCCAGTGAAATTGAGTTTGACCTTCGCAAATTTGAGGAGCAACAGGAAGAGATGAAGAAACAGGAAGAGATGAAAAAACAGGAAGAGGATCTTTGCCATCAGGCCATCAATCTGAACCTGTCATTACCTGTTGGTTCACCGCGTCCAAACGGTATCGCATCACCTCAGTC